AGAGGAGAGAAGGGAGAGAAAGAGAGAGAGGTTGCGAGCTAGACTACAAGACTTCACGACGGCAAGAGAGACGACCACGACGACCACCGACTTGGTGTTCACCGACGAGCGTCGCTGACCACCGTCCACCGCTGTTCAGAATCTCCATGTCGAATGTCCTAAACTTTTTTTTATCTGTGCATGTAAGTAAGTTATTGGTTTATTTGAGATGCATTTGTCTCTTACTCATAAATCTCATAAACAGATGAACTCCAGGAACCAGATTATCTGTGCAGATAAACAGATTATCATAAATCTCATTTGTCAGATAAATAGGAACCAGATAGACAGATTATAAATAGATAAATCTCATTTGTCTCTTACTCATAAATCTCATAAACAGATAAACAAATTATCTGTGCACTCTAGGAACCAATAACTTATTGTCCTAAACAAATTGAATATCTCGTTATTGGTCAACATTTTTTTTTTCCTGGGATACATTTGTAAGAAGCAATTTATTTGATCTGTGTCTGTAAAAAAAAAAAAAAACTGGTTGTTCTGGAAGCAAGCCCTCTATTAAACATTTCCATTGTAGTGATGCGTGCCAATTGTTTGATGAAAGTCCCCATAGAGAAATTGTACTGATTTTTTATGTTTTGGTTGATGAAAGTCCTGATGCATGGCAATTGTTTTGGTTGATGAAATTATCCCCATAGATTCCTGATGTATGCCAATTATTTTCAAACAAACAAGTAAATAAATTATGTGTCATACTAATCTATGTCATACTAATTTAGTGACATGATGCTAATCTTTCTTGATTTAGCAAGAACACTTAAATTATGTTTGAATTAACTAATTTTGACATTTAGGGTAATTTAACTAATCTCAGTGTTCTCATACAATGTTCCAATTATGTTTAAATTATGTTCTCACACAGTGTTCCCACTTAAATTATGTTTAAATTATGTTTGAATTAACTAATTTTGACATATAGAGTTCTCATTAGTTAACTAATCTCAATGTAAGAATGAACTCATTACTGAGATCAGTGTTCTCATTAGTTAACGAGGATCAAGTCATTACTGAGATCATCTCAGTGTAAGAATTAACTCATTACTGAGATCAACGTGTTGAATTAATCTCAGTGTTCTCATCCATTGCTGTACATTACTGTTTGAAAACTTGAAAATCATTGTAAGAACTTGAAAATCATTTACCATCTAAGAACTTGAAAATCATTGTAAACCATTTCAATGTTGTTTGATAAGACACAGAACTTTCATGGACATTAAAACAAATGGTATTAATTAACCTTGAAATGAAATATCCCTATCCAATATGAAAATCTATGTGATTACTGGTTAAGTTGGAGAACCTTAGAAAAATTGAAATGCACTTACATGCACTTACACTTTATTTTCTATTTGGTTTGAAGCTACATGAACTACACGCTTCAATGGACATTGATTCAAACAATCCTTCATTGAATGGGAGTGAGGAAGTTGAAGAAACGGAGAACAATCCGTCATTAAATGAGATTGGTGAAGTTGAAGAACCTAAAAAGGGCATGTGTTTTAGCTCAAAGTAAGAAGTATATTCGTTTTATGCAAAATATGCGATTTCATGCCCCAAATTTTAATTACTCGAAAACATTACCAAAACCTTTAAATTAGGTCCATTTTTTTTTTAAAATACATATACAAATATCTATTACACTTGAGTAATAGAAATACAATCAAACATGTTCTCTCTCTCAATGAATATTACAATGACAACAATACATGTCAGTCACCTATTGTGCTACAAATAAATAAATACAAATACAAGATCTATTTCCTTTACATCTACTACAAAATTATACAAACGGACTCAAGAACTCCATAAATCTTCAATCAAATAATCCAATTTTTCTTCCTGTAAAAAGATAAAACAACCACGGGGTGAGCACTAATGCCCAGTAGGAATCTCATAGTTCTCAATCAATAACTAATACACAGATAGAAATGATCATGTATACAAGGTGATACCATATAGTAGAGTGACGTTTTATAATTTCAAAATACCATACATAGAGTATCTTTTTCTCAATATTCATGTGAACATTTATGGAAAACCTTCGACCATCAAAACTATTCATTTTCATTAGAAAACCATAAATCCTTTTTAAAACATTTATGTCTAAGAAACCACATCATTTATATTTATTAACTCATTCCAAAATATTTCTTATTTAATTTCCCATATTTAATATTCCTCTTTTTCTTTCATTCTTCTTTCCTTCTCATTATATTTAATTAGACTCCATCACTTCAAGTTCAGTTTCCCTTTTTAATTTATTAACGATTATCCTATATTCAATTTACACCGTTAATTACACTCTAAAATTTCATTTCAAGATGACACAAGATTAATAAACCCCTTTCAATTTAATCTCTTGTTTATTTATAGAACAACACTCATAATTTATCTTTATTGTCAACCCTAATTCATTATATTCACCATCACCAATCCATAATCCCCTACTCATTTTTGGGTTCCAGACATTACAAACAATGTCTATATACATTTCCTCTTTATATCAATATACACATCAATTTACAATTTCACAAATTCATCACAAGTCACAAATAGCATCATCAACTTAACAGTCAGCACAATCCACCTTTTGCCGACTTACTACGGCGGGATAGCGGGCACCCAATCCATAACACTTTGCACCTTTCGCGCGGTTACTATACGGCGGGAAGTGAACTCCCAAAAACCTTTTTCTCAAAAGCCATGTTTTTCCAAAAACCATATTTTTCCAAAACCATTTTTCAACTTTTGAAAACCATCCCCCACATTTGCCGGCTACTATACGGCAGGATGTGGGCACCCAAAACATTTTCGAAAACCATCCGCTTTTCCACTTTTGCCGGCTACAATATGGCGGGACTATGTGGACACCCAAAAATATTTTCCCACATTCGTCCAACGATAAGCCTAGACAGGGCAATTGGGCACCTTTAATCCAAAACCACCCTCACATTTGCCGGCTACTATATGGCGGGACGTGGGCCCCCAAAAACCTTTTTCTTCAATTTTTAAAATCATTTATCAACTCCCCGCGCGGGTACCAACACAATACCACCCAACACAACTCAACCCAAACTCCACACACCCAACACAACATAACACAACTCAAACTCAACACAACCCAACACAACTCAATCCAAACTCAATACACCCAACACAACTCAACTCAACACAATTCACATGATTCAGACACAATTCATCATAGTTCAACACCATTCAATTCAACATTATCCAACACAACATAATTCAACAAAAGTCAACATTACTTAGTTCAACAACACTATTTGCAATTCAAAATAATTCAAAATAACTTCTTGAATCCCATTTCAACATTTCATAACTAAGTTTATATCATGCATATTATTAATAAATCATTTCTCCAATCTTCCTTTCACATTATAACATGATTTACAATGTTCATAATAAAAGTTCAATTGCTAATTTTTAACATAATTTTGAAACACCTCCAAAATCCAATTAAACTTGTACATATATAATTCCACCTACCAATTTCATGATTCTACTTTCAATTTGGGCAAAATCATTAATTATCATAATGAATCAACTTAGGATTTTCAAGAAAAATTAAGATTTTCAACAAAAATTCAAACTTCTTAAACCACTGCTTTTAATTCCAATCTCCCTCTAGATTATACACCTAAGGTTCATAATCCATCATATTAACCCAACCATTGAACCCCCAACACTTCAAACCCTAAACCCCCAAACCTCATGATGTTCACCATATGCTCAAAAACGAAGATTTTGCATGTGTATAATCAACATACCACAAATCTATCTATTTATGGAAGTATTGAAGAAGAACTAGGATCCCTACCTCAAGAATCGAGCAAAAGAGCAAGCTTTGATGAGATTCCTTCACAAATCCGAAATTTCAATTGGTAGAAAATGTTGATCTTTAAGCCTCTTTACTTTCTTGTAAGGGATCTTGCCTAAAACTTAGAAGAATGGAGAGTATTTTGGATAAAAAACCTAGGGTTTTCGGACCTTGGGTGGGAGGAAGGAGGAAGGAAATGGAAAATGCAAAGAATGATCTAGAAATGAGGTTTTAAACTTGTTGAATTCGCACGGTCTGCTCGAGCGTCTATTTTCCCGCTCGAGCGTAAATGCTTCCAGCACAGATTCCAAAACTTCAAACAGGTATAACTCTCTCATTCGGACTCTGTTTTAGATCGTTCTTGTGTCCAAATCGAAGCCCCCGAAATAAGATTTTCAATGGTTCTAGCCTCACACCCAAATTCAAAGTGTGGAAAAAGAAAAGGGCAAAAGAGTGACAGCTGTTTGTAAGAAAAATTATTCAAATTAAAGTTTTTGGTCCAATCTTACTTTACCATCACGTTACCACCTCAATCAATACCCCAAAATAAAATAAGGAGGTTCCAAATACACTAATAAAAATGTCAAGGGCAATCTCACTTTCCACGCTCGAGCGTCGCTTCCCACGCTCGAGCGCGCATAGACCAACAAAGCCATCCGCTCGGGCGACCACTCCCACGCTCGAGCGGAGATTCACAATTCTCAGAATTTCAGGCCGTTTGCAAAAATGCTAGAAACCTTTCAAGTCCGCTTGAGTGTCAACTCCCCCACTCGAGCGGAGGGAAAAATTCTAGATCGTTACATGCGGAGCACCTCGGATTTGCTGTAGCTTATAGAACACAGAATATTGGACAAGATGAGGAAGTAAAATACTTTGGAATTGAATGTACTCGGGTACGCAAGAGAACAAAATGATCAGAAGTACACCCTCTCAAACCATCTATGTGGTATTAATTAACCTTGAAATGAAATATCCCTATCCAATATGAAAATCTATGTGGTTACTGGTTAAGTTGGAGAACCTTAGAAAAATTGAAATGCACTTACATGCACTTACACTTTATTTTCTATTTGGTTTGAAGCTACACGAACTACATGCTTCAATGGACATTGATTCAAACAATCCTTCATTGAATGGGAGTAAGGAAGTTAAAGAAGCGGGGAACAATCCGTCATTAAATGAGATTGGTGAAGTTGAAGAACCTAAGAAGGGCATGTGTTTTAGCTCAAAGCAAGAAGTATATTCGTTTTATGCAAAATATGTGAAGCACCTCGGATTTGCTGTAGCTTATAGAACACAGAATATTGGACAAGATGGGGAAGTAAAATACTGTGGAATTGAATGTACTCGGGCACGCAAGAGAACAAAACGATCAGAAGTACACCATCTCGAACCATCTTTGTCATCATTCATTGAATGTAAAGCAAAGGTTAGATCAACTCTATAAAAGGATGGAAGATTTAAGTTGACCACAGTTGTCCTTGAACATATGCATGACTTGATTCCTAGTGACTCACGACATTTTGCAATGAATAAGAAAATTCTTACCTCTGTAAAGAGAAGACTAGAAATAAACGATGAAGCAGGGATATGGGTGGCTAGGAATTTTTATTCTATAGTTGTTGAAGCAGGGGGGTATGAGGCATTAACATTTGATGAACGAGATGCAAGGCATCATATTCAGAGTATGAGAAAATTGAGGCTTGAGGTAGGAGATGCTGAATCAGTTGCACTTTATTTTTATAGGATGCAACAACAAAATTCGAACTTTCATTCTGCAATTGACCTCGATGAAGATGGTCGCATGCGAAACTTGTTTTGGGCGGATGTAAGGAGTAGGGCAACTTATAAAGCATTTGGGGATGTGGTTTCATTTGACACAACTTATCTCACAAACAAATATGATATGCCATTTGCTCCGTTTGTAGGAGTTAATCACCATGGGCAGTCAATTTTGCTTGGTTGTGGGCTGTTATTTAATGAGAACACTGAAACATTTGTGTGGCTATTTAGAGAATGGTTAAGTTGCATGTATGACGTTCCTCCAAAAACTATAATAACAGACCAGTGCAGAGCTATGCAAAATGCCATTGAAGTTGTCTTTCCACAATCTCAACATCGTTGGTGCTATGCAAAATGCCATTGAAGTTGTCTTTCCACAATCTCAACATCGTTGGTGCTTATGGCATATAATGAAGAAAATTCCGGAGAAATTAAGAGGATATGCCCAATATGAATTCATCAAGTTTGCTTTGCAAAATGCAATTTATGATTGTTTTACAAAAGATGAATTTGATAAAGAATGGCAAGCGATGATTGCAAAGTTCAAGCTAGATGATAATGAGTGGTTGGGGGTATTATACAGATAGCGACACAGGTGGATTCCTGCCTATGTGAAGGATGTTTTTTGGGCTAGCATGTCAACTACACAACGAAGTGAGAGTATGAACGCATTTTTTGATGGATATGTGAACTCAAAGACAACTTTACAGTAATTTGTTGAACAGTATGATAATGCCTTGAGAAGTAAGGTTGAGAAAGAGATGAAAGCAGACTTTAAATCTCGAAACAAATTGTATGAATGCTTAACGGTATATGTGTTTAAGAAGCAATTTCATGCAGCCTACACGAATACAAAATTTAAAGAAGTACAAGTAGAAGTGAAGCTACTATTATATTGTCGTGCGAATCTTGTCAAAGATGAGGGAGAAATTTGTACTTATCATGTGAATGAGGTTGTTCTTGTTGGTGAGAAAACGAAGACTGTGGAATTTGTTGTGTATTTTAATGCAAGTGAATGTGAATTGCATTGTATGTGTCCGTCGTTTGAGTTTAAGGGCATTATGTATGCCCATGCAATTACTGTGCTACTTGAGAGGTGTATATATCAGGTGCCAGATAAATACATTGTACAAAGATGGAGAAAAGATATCGAAAGAGGGTACACATACATTTCAACCATATACACTAAAGCCTGGGCTGTTCTTAATGCAAAGTTGCATGATAAATATCACAAGATGTTGGATGAAATCATAGAAATTACTGCTAACAATGATGGTAAACACGAAGTGCTTGATCTTGGGTTGATAGAAATCAAGGATAGAGTGAGAAAAAATTAATCGAGTAGTGCGAGTCATATACCACCTTCTACTAGTAGCGTGCCACCTTCTACTAGTAATGTACCACTTTCTCATAGTTCGCTGAAAAGTCCGTCTGCTCGTAGTTCTACAAAAGCAAGCATGTCTTGCAAAATGCTTAGTCTATGGTTGTTTGCCGAAGAGGACATCCATGTACCAAACGGAAGGTTAGCAAAGTGGATGAAATAGTGAATCGGTTGAAGGGAAAGGAAAGAGTAAAAAGCCTCCAAAAGCACAGGTAAGTTCTTTTCTTGTGTGTGATATGGAAATTGTTGAATATAAGATAAATTATTCACCAATGTGTATGTGCCTTACTATAGGGATATACGGTTCCTCAATGTCAGCCTCAGAAGTTAAATTTTCCTGGTACAGATGATATGTAATACAATACTTATCATAACCCAGTATTTATTTGAATTTTTATGTTGTTGGTTGTTTTTTATTTTAATGTCTTTTATGTATAATGAAATTGTGTTACTATGATCATAGGGCGACGCAAACTGCACCTTACTATTTTCCTTGCATGGATGGCACAACAGAGTATGTATGTACCGGTATGTGTTCAATGTCTAAAATAAAATATTTGTTCTTGTTTTAATTGATATATATGTTGAATGGACAATATTTGTAAAGTGTACTTGTTTATTGAATAGACACAGTTTAGTCAAATGCAAACGGTGGACAATATTGGAGGCACATCTCATACTCAATCAGGAATGGTGAACAACATCAGTAGTCAAAGTTCAACAATCGGTTCAAATTTTGTTCACTTCAATGTAGATGCGGATCCAAATGTCCTCTTTTTTTTTTTTAGTTTTGCATTATACTTTTACTTCTTCTTTTTTTTTTTGTGGAATGCTCTTGAGATGAGTTTGTTTGTAGAGTACTATGAATGGTGTTGAGTGATGTTTAACTATAAATGATGGCAAACTGTATGTTGATGGTTAACTATAAATAATGGCAAGTTGTACGTTATATAAAGTGTTTCAAACTATTATATGACTGGTGCTTATGATTGTTTACTTTAATCTATTTCTCTGCCAGATTTTCAATCTGTTTGTCTATGAATCTGCCAGATTTTGAATCTCAATTTGTTTGTCTATGAATCTACCAGATTTTAAATATGTTTCTTTATGAATCTGTTAAAGATTTATCAATCTGTTAAACAGTTCAGCAAGTTATGGTTCTTTAAATCTGTTAAAGATTTATCAATCTGTTAACCATTTTCAATCTATTAAAGATTTATCAAACCAACAGAGGTGTTTTGGATTGGAGTGAGGAAATTTAGTGGTGTAGGGTGTAATGTTCAATCTCAATTTGTTTGTCTATGAATCTGCTAGAGCTAGAATTTGTACCAAACGAAGAATATTAGAAGAACTTTTCTTAATTGATTAGAAGAATGTTAGAAGAACTTTTCCACTCATCCATAATAAAATTACATCCATAATAAAATTAACATGTCCATTACATCCATTCAAACACTAACATTCAACATGTCCATTACATCCATAATTACATTCATCAAATTTCTCAAAAACTAACAGTTAAGCATTTCAATTCTTACATAATAAAGTACAAAACGATACACACTGCAATCACATAAATCATAGTGTTGAATTTGTTGTCCATCCTTTGAAACCTTCTACGATGGTCACGTATTTCATTTTCCATCTCAGAAAGCCTTGCCCTGACATCATTCAATTCTTCTGTTCGGATAGCTTTACGAGGTCCACTATTGGAATGGATTGTCGAGGTAACGTCCCCATCATCATCGTTCGCAAACTTGAAGTAATTGTAGTGTTCTTTCTTACTCTTACTCTACAGTGCATGACAATCAATTATTTAATTTACACAAATAATTTTCGAAATACTACAAGTTTAATTTCATAACACATACTTATATATTTGGCTGGGCAAACAAAAAAGAGATGCCCTTGATTTCCATTCTCATTGGTTCGTACAATATACATTGCAGCTGTTTTGCCACAATCACATATTCTTGGTCTTAATCTAATGTTGATGTTGTTAGTAGAAGAAGAAGCCATTTTTAATCTGCATAAACAAAATTCATAATATTTGAATATTAATTTCAAACCATGTTTCCATATTTCATGTCTTCAATGCTCTATGATATTCACCGGACAAGTGTCTTATACATTCAAAATTCATAATTGAGATTTTATGGCAGTGAGTTAAATGTTGACCAAATAAATTGAGAACAAATAAATTCTGTAAAATTGACATTAGACACTTTAACTATAAAAATGAAACAACATACAGTTAAAGTGTTCATTTTACAAAAAGGAAAAAGGAAAACTTTCAGTTTTTTTTAATCTTTCCAAGAAAACTTTGAGTTTTTTGACAAGTGTTTTATACATTCTGTTTTTTTTTAATCTTCCCAAAACACCACCCAAAAAGGAAAACTTTTACACATTTTGTTAAATGAATAATTAAGGTCTTGTATGTTGTTTCATAGTATATGAATTTTTGTAATTGACATTAGACACTTTAACTATAAAAAATAGAGAACAATTTTATAGAGTTTAACTCACTGCCATAAAATCTCAATTTGTTTGTTCCAAATGAAAGATGGCTTCTTGATGTTTCCTTGTTCAACTTTCATTTGAAAGATGTATAAGAACAATTTTGTTAAATGAAAGATGGCTTACAACAAAATTGAAAGATGTATAATAACAAAATTGTTCTTATACATCTCAATTGAAAGATGGCTTCTTGATTTTTCCTTTTTCAACATTCACAAATAAAACATATGTTAAACATAATTCTGGCTTCTTCATTTTTCCAAATGAAACATTCACAAATAAAACCCATGTTAAATATAATTCTAGCTTCTTGATTTTTCCTTGTTAAACACTCACAAATAAAATAGATGTTTCCTGATTGCTTCTTCATTTTTCCTTGTTAAACATTCACAAATCAAATATTGTTACACATTCAGAAATTGATTTTTCCTTGTTAAACATTCAGAAATTCCCTTCCTGTTTTAATCTAATGGAAGAGGTTTACACAGAGTCTCAGTTGGGGACTTTCATTAAAACAGGAAGGGAATTTCTGTAATGAACAAAATCAGTTGGGAACAAAATCAGTTGGGGACTTTCATCAAACACTTGGAATGCATCAATATAATGAAAGATGTTTAACCGAGGGTTTGATTCCAGATAAGCAAATATATATTTTTTTTAACACACATGAAGTCACACAATTTGGCATATCCATTGTTCCTCTCACAAATGCATCTCAAATCAAAAAAAAAAAAAAAAAACAAGAGTTTGGGCTCAATCATCAAACCCTAGTTTAGAGTTTCCAAAATACTACAAGTTTAACTTCAGAAGTTGCAAGTATGGGCTCAATCATCAAACCCTAATTTTTTGAGTTTACAAAGTTTACCTGAGATTGGGAGGAGAGAGGAGGTGACAGAACAAATTTTTTCTAGCATCGTTTCGAAGGAGATAGACTCAAATGATTCTTCAGAACGATGACAAACAGAGCAATAGAGAGAGAGTTTGAGAGTTTGGGTATGAGAACAAAAATAAGGACTTCGGGCGAGATAGTTTGGGTATGAGAAGAAGAAAAATGAAGACAGAGGCGAGGTAGGCGAGATAGGCGCGTGAGCCTCCTTCACATGATAAGTACAAATTGCTCCCTCCTCTTTGACAAGATTCGCATGACAATACAGTAGTCGTTTCAATTCTACTTGCACTTCTTTAAATTTTGCATTCATGTAGGCTACACGAAATTGCTTCTCATACTCATATACCGTTACGCAATCATACAATTTGTTTCGAGATTTAAAGTCTGCATTTGTGATAACCCTGTCTCGAATTATGCTAATCGGTCCTTATTATGAGTATGATTATGTGTTTAATATGATTTTGTGTGCCACTATGTGAAATATATGTGGTTTTGAATTTCTATCTGTTCACCGTAGGAATATCTGTTTGATTATCTGTTTTGAAAATTAAATTGGAGGCCTTATCGGCCACAGAACCCGAAACTGATTACGCCATTGTGATTGGCATAATTTTTAGAACCTACGGTGAAATTTAATTGAAAATTGATTCGGGTCAGATTAAACCGATTAAATTGGTGAATTAGTGCCCAATTATTTATTATTATTAAATTGTGGTGAGTGGGGACTTATGTAAAGGCACTATACACTCCATTTCCTTCTTTTATCTTCATTTGGGCTGATCAACTCTCTAGAGAGAGGCAAGGTCGGCTATTAGAGAGAGAGAGAGGGGGGAGAAAAATCTATGTTTGGTCTTGAAGCTTGGGAATTTGAAGATTTAGCTCAAGAATTAAGCATACATTATGAGAATTAAAGCTCCTAGGAGAGTATTTCTTGGATTTTAGTTTGTAATTTTGTGTATTCAAGCTAGTTGGGTAATCAAGAGTAAGAATTGACAAGAAATGAGTTGGTTTTGTTGAATTGGAAGACTATATATGCATGCATGTATGAAATTGTTTTGAATTTGCATATTAGAGCTTGAATTACATGACTCTTGTTGAATTTTGGTTGAAATCCATGTAATTGGCTATCTTTCATCAAAGGAGATGAGAATAAGGGTTATATGTCACATGCATGTATAAATCATGGGAATGTAAGTCTTGAATGTTTGAATTTGAGCATGTTGGTGATGAGTTTGAGATAATTTGGGTCATGCATGTAGATAATTCAAGAAATTGAGCTTGTTAATGTTGTAATCTTGTATTAATATCATGTTAGTATGTGTATATGAGAAATTTGAGCCATAACCTGCATGAATTGTTGGTTGAAAGTCGAATTGGAGCTCAAGAACACATTCTGGAAAACCCAGAATTTTGATGTCCCGAACACATGCTTTCTGATATCCGATCAACTTGATTTTTTACAGGTATGATATACTGAATAAATCATAAAATATGAACGGTTCGGATTATCAAAATTGGGCCTAAAACTAGACCCGAAGGCCTGCAAGGAC